GTTACAAATTAATTTATTCATTGTAAGTATTTTAAACAACTTGCCATGTTTAGCAAGACCAGTGTCTCAGGTACTGTATAAATATAACTGCATTTCGTTTTTGAAGTCAGGAGTAAAGTAGCTAGGAAATGAGGTGAGACAGGTAGAGATTTCTAGTAACTTCACTGGATTCTTTCTTAAAACCTGTCTTACGCTTCCTCTTTTTGTTACCTACTAGAATGTAATGAAACTTGTTAGCCCGGGGCTATGCTAGAAGTGTTGCGTTATTGCCTCTCCAAAATGCAGCTCCTGCAAAAAAATAGTGTATATTTATGTGGTGGGTTGGTTTGGTTTTTGGTTTTGTTTTTTTTTATTTTCTCTCCCCCCTCGCTTTAACTCTGGTAGTTTGTTCAAGCCTTATTTACGATGGGATTCTCATAAGGCTAACACAGAGCCAGGGTTCTCCATCTTTCTGAACCCGCAGTGTGAAGAAATACGGTTGTGCCGTATTTGTGGTGTGAAATCAAGTTTAATTCTTCTTGTTGAAGAAAATCTGGGAGCAAAACCACGCAGCTCGTTGCCTTTCTTAGCTGGGTATGGTGGGCATGTTAATTTAATCACATGTTTCAGACTTTGTGTTTTCTGGCTTTGTCTGCCAGAGGAAGCTGCTTCTCCACTGTTGCTTCCACTTTTTGCCCTTGAACTATGTAGATAATCGTGTGTGAGCTTATGAATATAATCTTAGCCTAATGCAGAGTAATTGTTTGGAAATGCTGGTGAATACTTAATTAATCTGGTTGACCCTAGACTTGTTGTCAGCCTTCCCTGCTCAAGGTCACTGCCTGTAGCTAGCAGCCCATCTGTGCTTTGCAGATGCTGATTAACCCATAACTTGGTGTGACTACTGGGTCCCTGCAGCCCATGGTGCTGCAGCTGGAGAGAAACCCTTGCCCTCCTTCACTTGCCTGAAAACTCCCTTGCAAGCTGTGGTGGTTCAGGAGCCAGCAGAGGCTTTCCTGCAGTGGAAGCCTGGTAGCTCACGCAAGCCCTCCTGAAAAGGTCTTTCAGGAGCCTTAGAAGAAGCAGCCACTGGCTTTTAGTATAATAAGAAAGAGGCTTTTAGCATAATACTAAAGAGGCTTTTTACTGAAGCTGTCGAGAAAAGAAAAGTAGTGAGAAGAGTGTGGACCTCGTTGACAATAAGGTGACATAAATCATATGCTGGAGACGGCAGTGTTGTCTCTCCCCTACTTTTTGGTGCAAAGCCTAGAACTCAGTTTTGGGAACGTGGCAGCTGTAATTGTGTTTCTAAGCTGTGACTTGATAGGATTTTGTGCATTCTGAATACTGGAACTTCCTGGAGATTCTGCTTCGTGTAACGCACGGACTAGTGATCTATGATGAGTTGCATCTGCGCTCAAATGGGTTTTCTGTTTGATTGATAGTTGTCTTTTCTTTTAAATGCTTGTGTGTCTAGTGAAGTGTTTTTCAACCCAGCCTGTGGTTTGTCCCTTGCTGATTAAGATTGTTTTTACTGTCCTCCTGGTGTCTCAAAATGAGGGACTGCAATGGATAGACGCTCTAGTTTCATGCTTTTCGGTGATGAACGGAGGATCACAGAAAGATACGGGAACACTCGTCTGACTGCTGAAGAAAAGAGAGGTGGGGAGGAGGTTGCTTCAGAAATAATGGTCTCGGCTAATCAAGCTTTGCTTCCATCTTTCCCCGCCTCCCTCCTTGCTGACCAGAGATAAAAAAAGCTGTGCCTGTAGGTCAAAAAGTTGCGTGACCTTTTCCTTTAGCAAGGCTCTAGAGAAGCCATGTTGTCCGGCTTTACGGGGTGTGGGTTGGTTGGGTTGTGTGGGTGCTTCCTTTCGGTTTTTCCCCAGTGCCCGATGTTGTGTCAGTCTTTCAACCAAATCCTTCAACTGCTGAGTCTTCCATTTCTCGAGGTGGAGCTCTTGCTTTGTTCTTACTCTTTGATCTCTTCCCTAACCAGTACTTTCATAAGATAATATTGGAAGGCAGTTTCTCCGTGAGGTACTGGCTGAGGGAGAAGTATCGTTGCCAGATTGGTCCAGCGTGGGGAAACAGTGAACAAACCTGAATGTTTAAGAAGGTTGACGTGTTCCAATGCACACTCGGTGTCTTGTGAGCCAGGTCTGTTCCCACTGCTGATTCAGGCTGTCAGGCTCTTTCCATTCCATGAGCTCTGCCCCATGATGGGTTGTACTTTCCACGATATTCTTTTCCCTGATCTCCCTTTAAAGCAGAGGTTTTGGTGGGGTTTTTTTTTTTTTTTTGCATGTTATTGCTGTGATGACAAAATTCCTTTGTTCTTTTGCAGCTTTGCATGAGTATGCTCTGGCCTGCCCAAGGAAGGGAATGTGGTATTCGCTTTCTGCTTTTGCACAGAAGGAGAAAGTAGCGATGTAAATCAGTAAAACCAATAGGCTTTTTTTTTTTTTTAATATTTATGCAAAGAAAAATGAAGCAGCAAAACTGGTATTTGTCTGTAACTAACTTCAGGAAAACTGCGAGGGTAGTGAGAAGAGGGGAGGGCCTGTTTTCTGCAAGTTGGAGCCCCTCTCAGCTGGGACAGCGATGCCAACGGTGATTCTAGTTGATTACGCGTGGGCAACGTCTTCTTGCAGTAGCTAGTGCAGTGGATTCCCTAATTCCGTGGCTGTCAAACTTGCCCAGAGAACAGTGCACTGAACTGCTGTCATTTTGGGCAGAACATCGTTGAAGGGCTTGATCACTTCTGTCAAAAGTAAATATTCTGTGTTCTGATTTTAAACACAGATGTGAGGTACGGCTGAAGTCATTCGTATCGCAGCAAGCACTTGCATGAATATCTCCACCATTTTTAGCTGTTCAGTGTGTATTTAAAGTTGTTGTCTTACCTCTTCATTTTTCAACCCTCAAACAAGGCAACCAAAGCAGAAATGCAATGTAAATTGCTGAGTTAGCTGTTAGACAGCATTTAAAGCACGAATATTTTTACTAGAAAACTGTAGCGCTTCTCAGAAGGAAAACTACTCTGGAAGCAATGAGTTCTTACGGCACTGCAAATAAGCTGACATGTTAAAATGAGAGATTGAACTGGAGGGAGTCTTTGGTTCATGGGTGGAGCCCTCATGAACATAACACATCTTGAAATGTGGGTTGCATTTTTAGCTGGAGCTGAAGCCAGGTTTATGAATTCAGGGCATTCTATTTATGGCTTCAGGTTGAAGTGAGATGAAAGCCGACAGTTTGGCTGAGTTTAGCCTTTGAGGTTTCTTGGTTTGTTTGAAGTAAAAATTGAGTGGAACTCTGCACGGACCCCAAGATATAAATGGAAAAAGAAGAATCATGCCTGGGTTTTAAATAAAAAAATAAATTAAATTTCTCTGCAATTCTGCCTGAACTCAGAACTTTCTGGTTTTGGTGTGGGTTTTTTTTATTTTTGTTTTCTCTTGAAATTAATTTAGTAGTGGGCAGAAAATACAATTTCAGTTTGCCACCTCAGCTAGCACATTGACTGCACAGAGCAGCATGGGAATAAGTTGGAATCTATTTCTAATTCGTGCTCCTAACTAAAATAGGTTTTATTCCAAACGCTTAAAATTGACACATACACATCTAAAAATTTGGTGGTCTTGACACAAGTAGAATAGTTGCAAAGGTATCTTTAGAGAGTCCTTTTTGTACTTTTTAACTCCTGGCTTTTTCCCTCCTCCAGCTCTCTTCTACTTTCAGCAGGCCCTCAGATATTTGTTGAAAAGAGAAGCATTCCAGGTGTGTTTGAAAACAAACAAACCAATAAAAAGTGAAAAGAGAAAGTGTCAAGCTCCGATCCATTGCTTCAGTAATCTGGTTGCCAACTCTCTGTCTGAATTCCCTGATCATATTGCTACAGAAGCGATCTAATCCCAATGATGGTTTAGAAAGAAAAAAATCATGTTGCACTTCTAAAAAACACGGTTTGCAAACTGTTGCCTTTATCTAAAACTAAAAGACAGTCTCCAGTAGCCTTCTTTGGACAAGTCCTAGTTGTTTTTCTGTTTGTTTTTTTTTCTTTTTCTGCAATCGGAAGGAAGTGGCAGAAAAGAATTGTTTTCTCCTCCTTCCTTAGCAGCCTGATATTAGAATTGGTTGTTACAAACTATACTTCAGTGTGATTATTTTTATCAAGCTGGCATAAATGGCAGTGCTTCCTTGGCAGGAAAGAAGAGTGATGCCTGAGGTTTTGGGTTTTCCCTTCCCTTTTTGATCTAGGCGACAGACCTTTAAAACACAGTGCTGTCAGACTACTGTTGACTATTAGTCCTTGAGCAAAAAGAAAAAGGCAGCTTGTGGTAATGGTAGCTGTGTTCAAGGTTTATTTTAATCTGCATGGCCAGATGTTCTCAGCTAAGGATTCAACTGCCTGCATCAATCTTTAGACAGTTGTTTTTGAGTGTAAAATTGTGCACATTGCAGATACGGTCAGCAGGAGTTTGCTCGTGCTAACCAGCAGCAGACTAGCACGCTGTTCGTATCACCAAAGAGGAGATCATGAAATTCCCTCCGAAGCCCCACGCTATGCATCTTTGGCATTGGCTTTCTGTACGGACTAAAATTACTTAGCTTGTGTTTGAGTGCTTTGTTCTATTTTTGCCCTTGCCATTGGTCTCTGCTGACTTGAGGAGCTCCTTCTGACTCTGAAAAGATCCTGAAAACACCCACGATGTGCACAGGAAGCAAAGCAAAAACTGCAGCTACTTTGGGTCCCATATTTGTTTTGATTTTGTCCATTCAGCAAAGCAAAGTCATCTCTTAAATCGTTTTAAACTTGGCTTTCTTACCTCTGCATGTATCAGGCTGTGCTTAAATGTAGTTGCTTTTGACAGCATTTCTGCAGTCTTTGTCTCAACAGTTTGGATTTTTCCGGCTGCCAAGCAAAACAATTTGCTTTGGCTGTGTTTGCTTGACTGTTTAGTAAAATACTACACATTCCTGATGAAGGAATAAGATGCTTAAAAAAAAAAAAAAAAGCTCCTGGGTTCTTTGTGGTCATCTTGTTTTTAATATAGACTTTATGAACTGAGACCTGATTTTGTACAGTATGATTAAATCATTACATTCTTAGTGTGTGATGCCCCTCTTTCAGAATACGTTGCTTCCCATGAGTACAAAGAGCCAATATTATGATTTGGTGCGTGATCTCTGCCTTCTCACTGAATTTAGGTCTAAATTTTTTTATCCAATAAATAAAATTCCTAAGTACCTTAATATAGTCTTTTTAAAGAAAGACGGACACGCAACTTCCTAAACCCCACAATTTTTAATATTACTTATATTTATTAGACAGAAAGATTATCCAAGACCTAGGCATCCTTTATTTTAAGCCTTGCAGTGGTTTAGGACCAGAGGGATAAGACTGAAAAGACTTCTAGGTTTGCTCTGCCTCTAAATACTACTTTGTGCGTGCTTTCACATGCACTCTCTCTCCCCTTCTCTCTCCTAATGTGTTGAGAATGACTTGCTCTTGCAATATCTTGAAAATACTACCGATGTTAATAGCTTTTATTTAAATTCTGGTAACTTCTAGAAATTGCAGTTGGGACTGTACTAGCCTGTCGGTAAGCTCTGGAGACTTTCTGGGCTGAACGGTTCCAGAAATACAATTTGGACAAATGGTAGAAAAAATAAAGTATTTTTATTTTATTCCTTAGATGGGAAAATAAAGTACAGAAACTGCAGCTCATTCGAAGTCGTACAAAATCTATGAAAGCAGCTGGTGACTGAAACCTTTCCTTTAGAATCTCAAACTGTGCCTGGATGACATTTCACTTTTGACCATCGGATCTTACCGCCGTGTTCAGGGTTTGCTTCCCAAGGTGGCAGCTGGTGGAGTGCCACAAGTGCGGTTCTGCTGCTGAATGCTCAAGTGTGCAACTGCAGCTCGCAGCAGCTCTGCCTCGGCCCGAGGAAGGCGGACGCGTGGCACGGCCCTGGACAAACTGGCTGCTGCCGTCAGTTTGATTGGCAAACTTAAAGGAGAAGTTTTGGGGGGGATAACAGGCTTTTAAATGTCGTTTCCTTCCCTCTCCCGCTGACCCAATCAATTGCCAATTTGCAATCCAATGTAAGAAACTGAGAGCAGAACGCTAATTAAGCTCACATTTCTAGTGCCTGGTGACTCATTAGGACATACAGTACTGCTCATGACTTCGATGTCAGCATGGGGTGTTTCACACATGCATCTTCTCCATCTCTGCAGGAAATTATCTCCCTGCTTATACTGCTGTTCTGTTGGATTGGGGGTGGGGGGGGAGGGTGTTTATAATATTTTATTGCCAATTTTGTGACTTGAAAGATATTGCATATTAATATTTTTCTTTCATCAGCTGTTTTTCTTAGGGGTTCAGATGTCCTAAGTAACCTTGAAAGGAAAAAAAAAAAAGCATTATACATTTCAAGGAAAATAGAATAACTTGTGGCTGGTCCACAGAAGTTCTTGGCTTCTCAAGCTAAATCCTAGAAGCAGAATTCCACATCTGACCTCGCGGGGCTGTATTGACATCGTGCTGAGATGCAGTGCTTTCAGAACCTGTCGGAGTGGTCTTGTCTTGTTTGCCTTCCTTGGGGGAGAAAGCAAACCCCCGAAGAAGTATTTTCATTCAGATTACTCGGTGCCAGGTTGTGCTGTTTGATCTCCAAAACATACCGTGACACAGATACGCAGTCTTCAGTGTTGGGCGGTCGTGTCTTCTGGAACGGGAAGGTACGCCCCACAGTCTCCGTTCTGAAAGGACAAAGAGGGATCCTCTCCAGAACACAGCATCCACGAGTGGGTTGGGAAGGGCACAACTGCTGGAAGTTTTGTGGCAGTGCCACGCTTTTCTCTCCACTAGAAGCGATCTGCCGCTTCCACACCAGACCTCCGAGTTGATATTTGGACCCATGCAGAAGAACATAAAACATGACCACAGGCTTTTGCTCCACAGCGTAAGATCTTCCCATGAGGCCCAGCTTTACTTGTCTGTCTTGATGCCGTAAGGCAAAGCCATCTCCTTGGTTTTCCTTTTCCTAATTTTCGTCCTAACAGAGCCCTGCTTCCCTTCCAGCGGTGTTTGTCCTGGATTTTGTTTCCGGCACTGTTCTGGTGGATCTGGGGCTGTGGTGGCCCCCTCTGGGCACTGACCTTCTCTCTCGCTTGGGCTGGAGGGTGAAGGAATCCTTTCGCCGAAACTGCTGCTGCTGTCACCTCTGGTGTCAGCCCTGGGACAGGCTGCTCGGAAGAATGAGGGCTGTTGAAGGGCAGAAAGCAGCTCTTTTGAAATTCCCACCTGACAAGCTACTTAAGTCTTCCAAGATGGAATTTTTTTTTAATCCCCCCCCCCCGGTATTGGGGAAGTGCACTTCCATTTTATATTGCATTGTGGATTTTTTAAGCTGGGATTTTATCAGTTCTGAAGTCTTAAAGCATCTTAACTTCAGGGCAGTAAATCTCTTTTTGGTAGTATTGCCAAATGAGCTTAGGGAAATAAATCTCTATATTTTAATATAGGGAATGGCAGTCATTGTCAGTAATCCTCAACACCATTGCAGCTGTAGTTCGCTTATGAAGAATTTTTCTAAGGAAAAATCTCCTGTTCTGAACTTTACGACATGACTTCCGTTTAAAGAAAAAAAAAACACTGGAGTACTAAGGTTTTTCATCTTAGTTTTTTGCAGGCAGGGAGGGGTGTTGAGCTGTTTGGCGAGAGTTGCATCTGTCCTTGCACTCACCTTATTCTAGCTGAGCTATAATTACTTACAGCTTGTGATAACACGGTATGTTCTTAATGAAAACGTGGAAGTTGGTGCCTCCTTGCCTGTAACTCTGGAAAAATATCTAATGTGTCTAATTCTTTAGAAAGGTTAGATGTCAGTCCATGAATCAAATGATGCGTAGTCAGCTGCTGACTGTTTAAAAAAATTGTTTTGTAAATAATCACTTGCTGAGTTAACATTTGAACTTTGATGAGAAGTTTCTGAATATTCAACACTGGGCGTGTGAGACCTGCTAGATCTGGAGTCCCTTTGAACTGAACATGCACGGTAACGCAGAACTCAAGATCAAACACTTCTAGTGAAAATGATACGCACCTGGGACTTGGTTTAGACTCAGGCCCATAGGTGCTGTTGGAGTTTTACTCAGGAAAGGCCGGGTAATGAAGCAAAATGGGGAAAACATCACAGATCTGTAATGAACTTCAAAAATATCTATTAACCACTTGTAGCAAAAGCTCGTATTTTAAATATCCTCTGAATTTTTTCAGAACTAATCATCAGGCCCATAATGACAACAGCATAGCTCTAACAGTAAATGAAGGTGTTTTGTTGGTGGTTTGTTGTTTGGTTTTGGTTTGGGGTTTTTTTTTTTCATTTTTTGTTGCATTTTACAAACGAAAGTCTAGATGTTAGGTTGTTCTTTTCTGGCACTTGCTGTGGTGCTGTGCTCCTGAATACAGCAACCCTTGCGTGTTCCTCAGAGTGAAAGTAGGCTTAACTTTTATTAGCCTAAAAGGTGTCCAGCTAGTCGACAGTCCAGATTACTGAAGTGGTGGTAAGTAAAGTGAACGTTTTGAAGCGCTGTGTGCTTTTGGGTGGCTTTTGCAAGATCTGTATCATGTTTTAACTGTAGTCGCTTGCTTCCTTGACCCAGTGTTACCTCTCAGAAGTGAGTGCAGCTATCTGCACTGCAAGTAGGAACAACACAAGGCTCTGGAATAAGTGAAGAACTGGTCCTGCTGGAGTGGTTGCTCTTCCTTCAGAGGGGCATTAGAATTGTAAAACCCACTTACCTATGCATTCCCATTACATCTCATCCTCTATCTTGGAAGTAGATGGAGTTGTGACATGTTGCCAAGTATTTAAAAGGCTATGATGGAAGATTGCCTTTTAAACTACACTGTAAAGCTTTTTTTGCTTTATATTTTCATGTATAACATCTATGGCTTTCAAAATGCTTCCACGACTGTTCTAATGGTTTAGTGCCGCTATTCCAGCGTTTCAGTGCCATGCATGCTGTGCTTTGCTGTCTTGGATGGCACTAAGTAACCCCAGTACGAGTGCTTTCTCTGACTCCTCTGAGGCAGGTCTAGGACTCTTGCATTTGCTTGCAGTTCAGACTTTTGAAAATTATTATTTTTACGTAGCTACAAAGATAGACATTTATGGAGAAAAGAAGTTAGCTTTGCTGTGGTATCTGCTGTCTGGGAGTTGCCTAGCCATGGGTAAAGGTGTTACCTACATGCATCAAGATCTCAAGTTCAGAACTGTGTCTCTGAAGGGCTTTGAAACACTGTTTTTCTTTAACCCTGAACAGAGTCAGATGGAGTTCAGCATTGCGTCTCTGTCCATACAAGAACAAGGTGGTGCCCAGTTGCAAAACGAGCAGCGGCAGCCCGTGAAAGCAGCACCTGGTGTCCAAGTCCCCAAACCTTCTCAGGCCAGTAAGGCCCCTGGCTCTGATGGGTTGATAGCATCCAGAAAGGAAGAGGAGTCCTCTTTCTGGAAGATAAACGCGGAGCGCTCGAAGTTTGAAGGAGACAAGTCTGAGTTCCAGTCCCTGACCCCCAGCCAGATCAAGTCCATGGAGAAAGGAGAGAAGCCCCTTCCCTCTTTTTACAGACAAGAGTCTGCTCCAAAGGAGATGGCGAAAGCTGAGAAGCCCAGCATAACTAAACCAGAGAAGTCTGTTGCCCCCAGCCTACCTTCTGCATCTCTCGAATGGGAGAAACCTCGGCCCACTCAACTCCCTGCTAGTTCTCTAGATGACTTCTTTCTTCCTGACCCGCCACAGACCCTGACATCTGCTAGGACAAACAAGGAAGATACTGATGGTACTGTACTCACGGATCCACAAATGCCCGGACAGGTAAGGGCTGCTACCTCCGCTGTCCTTAGGTTTAAAAACTGTATAGAACGTGAAAATCTGACAAGGCAGCTCTGGAAGATTAGGGACTCCATAAAGCATTAAGCCATAGCTAAGCTTGCTGGCTTTTTATCCTGTGAATTTAAAGAAGTCTGTTTAGCCAACATGTTAACTGCCATTGTTGGTTTCAGTCAAGTATTTTTTAATATAATAAAGTGAATAGGATAAAGGCATCATTTAAATGCACAA